TTGGGGGTCCTGGGGGGGAATTGGGGGTCCTGGGGGGGAATTGGGGGCTCCTGGGGGGATTTTGGGTTATTTGGGGGGATTTTAGGGGGGGATTTGGTGTTCCTGAGAGGGATTTTGGGGCTCTTGGAAGGGTTTCAGGGTTCCCGAAGGGGATTTTGGGGTTCCTGGGGGGGAACTGGGGGATCCTGAGAGAGAACTTGGGATCCTCAGTGAGAATTTGGGGTGCTGGGGGGGAATTTGGGCATCCTGGGGGGGCTGGAGGAGTCCTGAGGGGGAATTGGGGATCATGGAGGGGAATTGGGGGGTCCTGGGGGGGTTTTGGGGGTTCCTGGGGGATTTGGGGTTCCTGGGGGGGATTTTAGCGGGGATTTTGGGGTTCCTGGGGGGATTTGGGGGTTCCTGGGGGGATTTTGGGGTTCCTGCCCCTCACAGCCCACCCCAGGCCACGAGCCGGCCGGGCTGCTGTCGCTGGCGCAGCTCTTCGAGGTGGCCGTGGCCAAGCAGAGGGACCCGGCGGTGGCCGCCCGCGGGACGCCGCTGCCCGCCCTGCTGCGCTCGCTGCTGGGCTCGGCCCGCAGCCTCGGCCTGCGCGTGGTGCCCAGGTGGGACACGGGCTGGGCCCCCAAAACTGACCCAGAACAGCCTGGGACCCCCGAAAACTGACCCAGAACAGCCTGGGACCCCTAAAACTGAGCCTGGGACCCAAAAACTGACCCCGAACAGCCTGGGACCCCCAAAACTGACCCAGAACAGCCTGGGACCCCAAAACTGACCCGGAACAGCCTGGGACCCCCAAAAACTGACCCAGAACAGCCTGGGACCCCAAAACTGACCCGGAACAGCCTGGGACCCCCAAAAACTGACCCAGAACAGCCTGGGACCCCCGAAAACTGACCCAGAACAGCCTGGGACCCCGAAAACTGACCCAGAACAGCCTGGGACCCCAAAACTGACCCCGAACTGAGCCTGGGACCCCCAAAACTGACCCAGAACAGAGCCTGGGACCTCCAAAACTGACCCAGAACAGCCTGGGACCCCAAAAACTGACCCCAAACTGAGCCTGGGACCCCAAAAACTGACCCAGAACAGCCTGGGACCCCAAAACTGACCCGGAACAGCCTGGGACCCCCAAAACTGACCCCAAACTGAGCCTGGGACCCCCGAAAACTGACCCAGAACAGCCTGGGACCCCCGAAAACTGACCCAGAACAGCCTGGGACCCGAAAACTGACCCCAAACTGCGCCTGGGACCCCAAAAACTGACCCAGAACAGCCTGGGACCCCCAGAACTGACCTGAAACTGAGCCTGGAACCCCAAAAACTCACCCCAAAAACCAACCCTGAGACCTCCAAAAGCTGACCCCTGACCCCCGGGCTGACCCTGCAGGCCGTGGCTGAGGCCCAGGCTGACCCCTGACCCTTGACCTTTGCCCCCAGGCTGACCCCGCAGGCCGTTGCCGAGGCCCAGGCTGACCCCTGACCCTTGACCTTTGCCCCCAGGCTGACACCGCAGGCTGTGGCCGAGGCCCATCCTGACCCCTGACCCTTGACCTCTGCCCCCAGGCTGACCCCGCAGGCCGTGGCCGAGGCCCAGCCTGACCCCTGACCCTTGACCTCTGCCCCCAGGCTGACCCCGCAGGCCGTGGCCGAGGCCCACCCTGACCCCTGACCCTTGACCTCTGCCCCCAGGCTGACCCCGCAGGCCGTGGCCGAGGCCCAGCGCCGCCGCCGGGAGCTGCAGGCGGCTGCGGCCGCCGCGGCCGGGCAGGAGGAGGACGAGGGGGGCGCCCGGAGGAAGTGACCCAAAAAACCCAAAAAAACCCAAAAACCCCCAAAATCCCCAATAAAGAGCTCCCCCCACAGCCCCGCCTGCCTGGAGTTTTTGGGGAGCGCCTCGGGCCTTCGTCATCGGCGTCCTCCCCTTCCTCATCCTCACCCTAATCCCTGCCCCATCCTCCTCCATTCTCCATCTTCCTCATCCTCCTCCTCATCCTCATCTTCCTCCTCACCTTCCTCATCCTCACCCCAATCCCTGCCCCATCCTCCTCCTTCATTCTCCATCTTCCTCATCCTCCTCATCCTCATCTTCCTCCTCCCCTTCCTCATCCTCACCCCAATCCCTGCTCCATCCTCCTCTTTCATTCTCCATCTTCCTCATCCTCCTCCTCATCCTCCTTCATCCTCCCTCATCTTCCTCCTCCATCCTCATCCTCACCCCAATCCCTGCCCCATCCTCCTTCATCATCCTCCTTCATTCTTCCACATCTTCCTCATCCTCACCCCAATCCCTGCCCCTTCCTCCTCCTTCATTCTCCATCTTCCTCATCCTCCTCATCCTCATCTTCCTCCTCACCTTCCTCATCCTCACCCCAGTCCCTGCCCCTTCCTCCCTCCTCATCCTCCTTCATCTTCCTCCTCCATCCTCATCCTCACCCCAATCCCTGCCTCATCCTCCTTCATCATCCTCCATTCTTCCACATCTTCCTCCTCATCCTCCTCCTTCCTCCCCTTTATCCTCCCTCATCTTCCTCCCTCATCCCCCCCCCTCCCTCCTCATCCTCCCCCCCCAAAAAAACGCCGCCGTTGCCATGGAAACACCGCGGGGGGGGGGGGCGCAGGGGGATCCCCGGGAATTCGGGGAGAAACTCGGGAATTTTGGGGTGGAGGGAGTCGGGAATTTTGGGGAGAAACTCGGGAATTCTGGTGGGGGGGGAGTCGGGAATTTTGGGGACAGATTCGGGAATTTCGGGGTGCATTCGGGAATTTGGGGGGTGGGGGGGAGCCGCGTATATTTTGGGGGGGCATTGGCGAATCTTGGGGAGAAACTGGGGAATTTCGGGGGGAGGAATCGGGAATTTTGGGAGGAAACTGGGGAATTTCGGGGGGAGGAATCGGGAATTCTGGGGGGAAACTGGGGAATTTCGGGGCCGGATTCGGGAATTCTGGGGGAAAACTGGGGAATTTCGGGGCCGGATTCGGGAATTTCGGGAATTCCGGGGC